GAGGATCAACGAAGGATCGAAGTGATGCCTCTATATAAAGCGACTAAAGCAAGGGAACATGTCATAATCAAGCTCATAAAAATAGAGAAACTCGACAATAGTAGGAAACTTACTATTGCCTTCTAGGCGCCAAAAAAATAAAGAAGCTGGTCATAGCAACCCATCCTTAGGAGAAAGACAACAAGGGCATAACCCAAAGAACGCCAGAATCCACCCAATGTTGGGATGGATGGGCAAACGAAGACCCATCTCGAAAGCACCTTTAAAAAAACAAATTTTTCGCTGCGCAAGAAACTCATAGGGCTCACCAAGAGTTGGGACTCGGAGGGGTAAGTTAGTAGGAAAAAGATATCGCCCTGATTCCTTCTAACTCTATAGCAGTAATCACAGAAGGAAAGCAGGAAGTTAGAGTGCCACACCATGTCAATCGTGGCATGGGCTCGTTGTTTGAACAAGGGAGTAAGAGAGTGAGCTGATTCAACCTTATTCGTGATATGATTTATATTATACACCCAAGTATAAGTGGTCGAATTGTAGTTTTCTTCGTTTAAGTTCAAGATCGATCCCACAAAAAGTTTTAATAATTAGAATTTAAAATAAGAACAGTGAAGTTATTTTTAAAGCAGTGTAACATGAGATAGCTTGTGATGTAAGCTTAGATTGATAAATAGTCTAAATAAATGAAAATGTGTAAATAGATTGTTAAAAGACAATAATATGAAAAGTACCCTTCAATTTAAGAATCTCATATGCTTTATATTGGTTAAGTACTGGAAATGCAATTAACTTCCAAGTCATTGGAAAGTCAACCGGTAGGTCTGATGTATATAAACCATACCACAACAACTTCTTAGGTTAGCTGGTGGTATTATTAAACCATAACATAACAACTTCTTAGGTTAGTTGGTGGTATTACTGACAATTAACTAATCCAAGTAAGCCAGAAGATCAAACCATTCATGAGGATCACTTGAATTACTCAATTGGCTTTATCAGTTAAAAAACCCTAATGATCCAGAAGTTCAAGCCATTCAGAAAAATCATTAAAGTTATTCATCTGACAATTATATCATGCAACAGTAGAACATCCTCAGTGCACCTGGAGGTCAAGCCATACCATTGGAACACCATAGATATTCAACCGGCAGGTTGATGATTTACTGATGACATAATTCCAGGCTACATAGTATCACCCAATTAAGTACATCACCGTATCATGTATGAAGTTCATAATAATAGATAGTATAAAATATTAAATATCGCTCGGTGTTCATAACTATGAGCAGATTATAAATAGATATGTATAGGTAGAGTATAATAAAACATCAGCATTTCCATAATTTAACCAGTATTATACATATGTTCACCCCTCACTGAAAGGTATAAGTAAACTACTCACACTCTATTACTATTAACAAGCAAGAAGTGGGGGTAATTACAATATTAAATAAAATACAGAAACTGACACTTCTTTCGCAAGAAACAATTGAAAGACAACCACCTATAATATCAGTTAAGACACCAAGGTGGCGGCAGTTCGATTCTCCAAGTAGAAAGACATAACAAAAATGCAGAAATGTAGAAATAACAGAGTTTTGGCCGGAGATTAGGACGAACCGGATCTTGAATTGTTCTACGACTTTCTCTCTTTTTCTTCCTTTTTCTCTCTTTCTTTTTCTCTTTTGAACTTCCTCTGGAGCTCTCCTTCTAGCTGGTTGAAGATGAATGAGGCAGCCCTTATATATATAGGCAGATATGCAAGTAGGAGGTGGAGGATAAAGACCAACTGCCAAGAACCACCGTCTGGACGGTCTTTGTTTGTTGGTGGAATTTCCATGACGTTCTTGCATGTTCTTATTGTTGAATTACACTTGCTTCCTCAGTTGTAATAAGCTTGGACAGATTGTTCCTCCTGATTTTTGGCAATTTCGTACAAAAAACCTTGAAATTTTAAACAATACACACAAAAATCCTAGTTTACGCACAAACCCTAATTTATAGTTTTTAACTGTTTTATCTTACAAAGTTAACTTATTTTACTATTTAATTCACATACTAATTAGGGTTAATTAGGAGCCATGAAAACCATAAAGAAGATAGAGAACGCAAAATAAACTCAGGAAGAATGAGGAACGTGAAGAAGAAATTCCAAAATTTGTAGGCAATAAGAAATCCCATGTTCTATGTAAACAATAAGGGGTCCCGAGTTTTAAGGGAGCAAGAAACGCGCGAAGACAAAGTAGGTGGGCACAAAGAACAATAAGAAAGTAGGTGCTCTATGCTAAAGGAGCAACTCAGTTCTGTTAAGCTTAGGTCAGACTAGGTTGAGCTAAGACACAAGCAACTCAGTTCAGCAAAAGGATGAGCCATTCAGCCTATTTATTATAAGCAGAGCTCTTTGGCTCATAGGGATGGGCTCTTCAGTTCACTAGAAAATGAGCTCTTCAAACCACAAGATCTTTCTAGCTAGCACCTCGACTTAAACCAAGGTCGGACTCCCGACATGGTTAATTTGACCTCATATGTCAAGAAGAACTAAGTTCTCCCCAAAGTAAGGGGGTAGAAGGGAGTAGGTAGAGTGCAGAATGCAGGAACACAAAAGAATTTAACAATCAGAAGTGCGATAATTAAAAAGCAAAAATGCAAGAACATTAGACAAAAACATTTTTTCATTTCTCAAAAGAAACAGTTATGGAGCCATCTACAAGAAAAGGAAAAAAATACAGAGGAATCTTAAATCCCTGTAAATGGGTTAGCTAGAGCCTCAGGTACCTCAGGAACCTCAGGATCCTCAATTGAAGCAGGGTCAGCTTGACCTTCAGACAACACAGGAGCCTTGGGAGCATCAGTTAGAGCAGGGTCAGTAGGAACAATAGACAACTCAAAAATCCCAGAAGCAGAAGTTGGAATAGGTGTAAGAGCTACAGAGGTAGCTGGAGCAGATGAAACCACATAGGCAAGGACCTCGACTAAAGAGACAGATACCTCAACACCCTCGGGAGAAAGCTCAGAAGTAGGGGGACCAAAACCTCAGCCTCTTTCTCAGTGCTTGGCACCTCCTCTTTATCCGAAGGGGGATCAAATTCAAAATCTAGGTCTAGATACTTCTGTGTAGCTTGATCTTGGAAAGTAAGGTACCTAGTGGCCCAATTGGTGGTAGCCTCATCCTCCAGCTTAACAATTAGAACATCTTTCTTTTTAATGTCAGCTCTCTCAACCTCAATCTCTCTCTACAGTGTGTCATTCACTTCAGCCAAGACATTGTATTCTTTCTTCATGGCCTTGTAAGACTCAAAAGCCTCAAAGGCATCCTTACAAGCTTGAACCAAATCGCTAGTCTTCAACCTAAGCTCTTCCTTGGTCTTTTTGACCTCATCCTCGATTTTCCCTTTTTTAACCTCCAAATCTTTATTAGCAAAAGGCAACCTCTCCATCTACACTTGCAAGTCCCGCATTGGAGCCTTGAGGTCATTATTAGAGAAAGCCAACTCGACAATCTTGAGCTCAAAAGTCTTCAACGCCTTGGTTGAGCTCTCCAAAGTCCTAATCCTACTTGTTAGAGCACTCACATGAATGGCCAGCTAGAGAAAAATAAAACCAAAGGCTAGAATCAGAACGAAGCAACAACATAGGATGAAACTTGGAAAAATAGAAGCTTACCAAAGTAGCACCATACAAGGCGGTAGTAACACAAGAGGAGAGAGACATAATGGCCACCTTCTGGATGTAGGACTCAGGGATTATTAAGATGATGGCCTCAACAGTAAGCCTCACAAATATCGAATTTCTCGACCTTCACATCCTCTAGCAACGGCCGGTGAGTCTTCTCAGCAAGTCTGGGAGCAAGAGATCTATGCAAAAATATGGGCAATTGACTCTAGAGCCCCATCGACCTTCACCGACGAAAGAGATGCTAAAGCTCTAGCTTTCTTAGGAGCTCCTCTAGAAAAGGAAGGCAAGGTCCCTTGGAGGACGGAGGTTTGTGCGACCTTCGATGAGCTCGGTGGAGGAGTAGAAACCACTTGGGAGGGGGAAAAAGTAGGGGCACCTCTGTCCTCTACATCTTGGCGATAGGGGGAGGGTCGCTTCTTGATTCAACCTCTGCCTTGCGCTTTCCTGCACTTTTGTCATTCCTCAGTAGGGCAACCTTCGCCTTCAAAGCTTCCACATCTTGAAGCATTGAGCTAGAACCTAAAAACCCAAAGCAAATAAATCAAAAAGGAGAAAGAATTGTTGAACTTGGTGTACAACTAGTGGTCTCTCAAGATCTAGAGAATAGTCCTCAAGTAACCCTCATGCTCCTCCTCTAACTTGGAGTAGATCAAGATGTCATCAATAAAGACCACGACAAACTCATCTAGGTAGGATTGAAACGCCCTATGCATGAGATTCATGAATGTCTCTGGGGTATTCGTCAATCCAAAAGGCATAATTATGAACTCAAAATGTCTATACCGCATCTTAAACACCGTCTTAGGGATATCTGTCTCCCTGATCCTCAACTGATGGTATCCCGTGTGCAGATCTATCTTGGAGTAGACTTGTGCCCCTCTCAGTTGAATAATCAAGTCATCAATCCTTGGAAATAGTACCTATTCAACTACCAGTAGTCTATACATAGTTGAAGGATTTTGTCCTTTTTCTTGATAAGTAGCACTAGAGCATCCCATGGTCAGGTACTCAGTCTAATGAAACCCTTGTCCAACAATTCTTGCAACTGAACCTTGAGTTTTTGCAACTCTACAGGTGTCATTCTATGCGGAGTCATAGAAATGGGAGATGTATCAAGGTGCAACTCAATGGTGAAGTCTTCATCCCTATGTGGAGGTAATCCCGGTAACTCATCCAAAAAAATATCTGCATACTCACAAACTACTCAAGGTAGACCCAACTCATGTCTCGCCTCGTCCTCAAGTGTAAGGCTTGTAAGTCAACCCATCAACTGTCCGTGCCAACGAGAGTCATACATGGCTTGGGATAAAATATCATATTTTTCCCTTAAAACTTGAAATAAACACCCTCCGGTGTATAGGCAATGATTTTCTTCTGATCACAATCAATGACGATTCGGTGTGCCACCAACCAATCTATCTCGAGGATAACATCAAACTCCGACATGTCCATGACCCTAAGGTCCACCGTGAGTAGAATCCCTAAGATATCTAACTCATATCCCTGACATATTTGATTAATGTATACCCTAACTCCTAGGGATGAACTCACATGCAATGGCTCTTCTAAGGTCTCAACCTCTAAGCCCAAATCTTTTACACATGATGCAGAAATGAATGAATGCGATGCACCAGAGTTAAACAATACCCTTGCCATAAAGCGAGAAAGTAAGCATGTACCCTGAATCACCGACTGATCCACTAACTTAGTCTGAGGTGTGATGACATAGACTTGCTCCTAGGTCCCTGAAATCCTGGCCTATAAGCCCTATCCTCAACCTCAGCCATGCCTTGACCCATCTGGCCTAATTGCGGAGTCCTCGCTAGTGAAATGATAGGGGCTTGTGCAGTACCCTGGACCTGAAACTGACTTCCTTGACCCATAGTAGGATATGGAGGATTGAAGAATGTTTGTGGATGTCCCATCGATGATTGGGACTGAGATGCCCCATAGCCTTGGAATCCCTATCTCTTAAGACAATCTCATTTCTTATGGCCTAACTGGTGACAATTGAAGCAAGTCCTCTAGCCTGCCTGGTAGAAAGCCCTGAAGTTTCTCCTGCCTTTAGAGGATTAACCTTGGCCTTGTCCTTGATAGCTGCAGCCCTGCCCTTATGGAGTAGAAGTCTTTTGCTTCTTCCCCGAACTAGAAGAAAAAGATTGGTCCTCCTTCTTCTTGTCCTTAGCACCCGCCTCCCAGATGCCCCCTTATGTCTTCCACCTCTTTCTCAATGGCCATGACCGTCTCGACCATGAAGTCCAAATCTTATAAGCGTTAGCCCACAATCTTCCCCCTAGATGGACAACTTCAAACCACCCTTGAACCTCTTCACTTTGGCCAAATATGTGGCCACATAATTATTAGAAAAACGGGCTAACTCGGCAAGCTTAGCCATGTATTTCATCACTGTCACAGTCCCTTCTTTCAAATCCAAGAATTCTTAGGCTTTCGCTTGCCGACGAAAAGTATTTATCTATAAAGAGCTGACGGAACTCTTACCATGTCATTACCTCTGGGTTCTTCGAGGCCTTTACCCAATTCCATCATAGATGGGCCTCTCCCTCAAGGTGGAATGTAGTGAACCTTATCTTAGTGGCATCGGACATGATCTCCATAGCCTTTAAGATCTTATTGCTTGATTGATTTTCGTTGTAGTATAGCCTAACCTCCGGACATCATCCCTCAATGTATATATGGTGTGTGTGAAGGAGAATGTCACTCTCCTTTGGAATGATGTCAAAAGAAAGGGCAACAGAATGGTGGATGAATAAAATATGTACAAAATGTGTGTGTGTGTGAACAAAAATGCTTCCCAAGCGCAAGAAGACTTTTGTGTGTTGTGTTTTACTTGGAAGAGTAATGCTACAGGGACTTAAAAAGTAGACTTAAAAATTAGACTTGATAATCTCAACTATTGAATAAGTAGTGGGTCTCAATAAATATTGGGACCTATAGTAAAATTAATGGTTAAGATTATTAAGTCTACTTTTTAAGTTCATGTAACATTACTCTTACTTGGAATTGTATTTCAATATCATCTCCTTAGGGAAGGACGGTGAATCATGCAGGAGGTGATTTTAGTGAAAGAAAAGTGTAAAATCTTTTGTTGGTTGAAGTTTGGGTTGTGATTGTGTTATGATGAAATTAAAATGGGAAACAAGTGTTGGTCAATCCAAAGGGTTCACTCCAATGAGAATGTCAAGTCAACTCGAAACCTTCCTCCAATTGTGCATAGATGAATGGTTGATTTGTGGGAAGTTAGGGACGAGATGGAAGTGAGGATCCAAGCATAACCCGTGATAAGTCTACGGGATATCAAAGACTCACAATCTCGACCACCCTCAACCCAGTCAAACCGAACCATCATACACCGAAGAGAGGAAAGAAGATGAGTCAAAATGGCATACCCAAGAGGAGGTCTCCCTTGGATTGGCCAACTTAAAGGCTTAGCTACTCATGCTTAATAGGAAATACAATAATGTAATGGAAGACATTCTAAAAAAATGAAGATTCTAGCTAAATTAATGCAAGAAAGCATAAATTAAGAGATAATGCATTAAATACCCATTTTGAAACTAAGAAATTTAAGAACTTGAATGCATTAATGGTGAAATCTTGAATGAAAGACTAAACATCAGAGCAACTTGTAATAAATGGCATTAAAGACTTCAAAACAAGCTTAGAAGGTTCTTACATGAAATTATAGGACAACGTATCGAAGAATATGCAAATATCTCAACTTCTCTTTCTAATACTATTCATCTTCTTCCTAGACTCCCACTCTATATTACAATGTGTTTTGTATATTGGTGTATTCCCCTTCCAAAAACGTCCATGGAGTGATGCCCTAGCCTTCTAATGTGATCTCCATCCATAGAGGCTATAAGGCATGGGTTGGTGCAGACAAGTGTAGGCTTTGCCTGCACACCCAACATCTTTTCTCTCCTCTCTCCTTATTTATGATCAAGAATCCAAAAGTCCAAGAAGAGGTGTGTGAGAGATGTCCAGTGTGTTGAGAGTGTCAAGGGTAGGTAGGAGAATGTCTGGTGGGACCCCCAAGGCTGTAGAGCTTGAGATGCAGAATCTGGCACTTTTCAATAAAACCTACTGGTAGGTCGATAGAAACCTATCGGTAAGTTTCACTCCAGTGGGCTCAACCTATCGGTAGGTCTGGCGGTAGGTGTAGGTCTAGTAGCTAAAACCTACCAGTATGGCCTACAAGTATGTTTTCCCTTGTTTTGCTAATTTCTTGGTTTCTTTACCTCTTGAGCCATCGTCAAGCCATCCTTTCATCATC